GAAGCATAAACTTTCAGAACAGAGCACACACAGAGGTCCCCATATTGGCCATCAAGGTTGTGAACAATGGAAAATGTCTCTACTTATTGTGTTTGTAAATCAAATGTCACCTATGTTCGATATTTAAGACAATCTATCAATGTCTGCTTCTGTCCCATGGTGGCAAGTGGTATAAGTTATACAAAAAGTAGGTCTGGGTATATATTAGCTTTTTGAGCCTGAGGCTGTGTGTGTGTGTGTGTGTGTGTGTGTGTGTGTGTGTGTGTGTGTGTGTCTTTGTGTGTGTGTCTATCTGTGTGTGTCTATCTGTGTGTGTTTCTGTGTGTAGGTCCAGAAGCATAGGGATGATTCCTTTGTGTCTGCTAAGGTTTGTTTTAACTCACAAAGATTCTGCAGACACTGTGAAGCCTACACTTGCATAATCAGAGCACAGCTGTGAAGATGTTTGACAGTAGGGTGTGTCATACAAGTAGGATGGGAATGTCAGAAGGTTCAGACATGTCCAGAAGAAACACTTATTCCCTGCCTCCCTGAGACCAGGTCTTTTCACGAACTGGTCATCTTGACTTTTTTTTCAATCTCCTTGTTCCCTGTGACTCCTTTATACTACTTCTGACCAATTCATCCTCAAGAAGTTATTTGTGGATTAACAAGTTTTTCATTTTTTAATCCATTGCAGTGAAGGCCAACCACAGAACAGCATGACCTTTAGGATTATATGTCTAGCAAGGTGAGGATCATCCTCCATTCTCAAAATAAAGTCGAGTGCTCCTTGAAAAATGGAGTCTCTCAGTGAAAGGCATACTTTGGAAAAGCACAGTTTTATATAGTATGGAGTATAGTATATATGACTTATGGCCAAGTGCAGCTTGTTCCCAACTATGCACACATTGGGAGTTTGTTTTTTAATCTGCTTTTAATCAATCAGTTGTGAACATTTCAAGCATGAGTTTCTCTGCTATACTCTCACATCATTGGACTAGAAACCCTAGAGGAGACTTACTGAATCAATGCACAAGGACATGTTTAACCTTTGAAGAAAACGCCAGTTTATCTTTCAAAATGACTACACCATTTGAATCTACTTCAGCCTCATGTGAGCATGCCAGAAATATTTTTGTCAACACTGATTATATGTGTGTGTAGTAGTAGTGTTTGTTTGCAAATGATTCGGTGCACTTTTTCCCATATATACACTTTTTTTTTATTGAGGATCCATTTACAAGTTTTTAACTCGTTGTTCCCTTCTTTTTAAAATTTATGTTTCCCTTTCATTTAAAATAGATTCTTTTCTAATTTAATATATCCTGATTGTGGCTTCCCCTCCTTCATCTCCTTCCAGTTCCTCCCCAGCTACCCTCCCACTTCGATCCATTCTTTTTCTGTCTCTCATTAGCAAAGAACAGACTTCTAGAAGATAATGTTAAAGTACAACAAACTTAAATATAATAATATAAATTTTAAAAAACGATCACATAGAAGTTGGGCTGAACAAACCAGAGAAGGAAAAGAATCCAAGACAAGGCATAAGACTCAGAAACCCGCTCATCCACACACTCAGGAATCCCATAAAAACATTAAACTTGAAGCCATAATATATATTCAAAAGGACCTGATGCAGACATGTTCAGGCCCTATGCAGGCTGCTTCATTCTCTGTGAATTCACAACATGAGCAGAGCTCATGTAGATTCAGAGGGCCTTGTTTTCTTCATGTGCTCCTTTCCCTCTGGCTCTTACATTCAATCTTCTCTTCTGCAGGGTCTCCTGAGCTCTGTGGGAAGGGATTTGAAGGAGACATCCCATTTAGGGTTGAGTGTTCCAAGGTCTCTCATTCTCTGTATAATGCCTCGATGTGGGTCTCTGCATTTGTTACCATCTACAGCAATAGGAAGTTTCTCTGATGATGGCTGAAGAAGGCTCTTGACTATGAGTGTAGTCGTTTACTCATTACCCTTTTTCTTTTTTCAGACCAGCAGTATTTGGATTCACCATAGGTCCCTGGGGTATATAGTCTCTGTTCCTTGGTCACCCAAGCAGTGTTGAGTATGAGTTCCATCTCAAGGAGTGAGACTTAAGTTATATGAGGCATTGATTGGTTACTGTCACAGCTTTGTGCCACCATTGCCCTAGCATATCTTGCAAGGACACCACTGTGGGTCAAAGGGTTGTAGGCTGGTTTATCGAAAGACACTATTATATAGTTGTGAAGGTTCTATGTAGATACCAGCTGGACTTCTCCCTGTTCAGTGAGTTGCATAGATGTTGCCTTCAGCAGTGCGACCTTGCTGACGGTTGGTGGAGAGTAACCTAAAAGCGATAGGAACAGACTGGCTTGTTTGGGGATTCCAATGGGACTTTTTGGGCCAGCAACTCAATTAGATGTAACTTAATCCTGATGCTGGAAGCTTATTTTGTGACAAGAGAAGTCCAGTTGGGACTCTGTCTCTCCTATTATTTGGCAATTTCATTTAGATTGCCTTCATATATATACTTATCACACATATCACATATATGAATTTATCTTATATATAGAAGTATATATTGTATTGAGTTTCCATACTATCCCTAAACGCCCCTTAGTTTTAGCTGTCTTTTCCCATATTCCCACCCTCAACCCCCTCACCACTTGAACCTCTTATCCCAGTCCTTCATCCATCCATAATTATCTATTATATTTCTCTTTCCTAATGAGATCATTTCATTCCCTCTAATCCCTTGCTCTATACCTACCCTTTCTGGTTCTAGGAACTGTAGCTTGGTTATCATTGACTTAAATGTTAATGTACATGTATAAACAAATACATACTGTATTTACCATTCTGGATCTGAGACACCTCACTAGGGATGGTTTTTTTCTACTTCTATCCATTTGCCTGCAATTTTCATGATGTCATATGCTTTTTCTTTTTTGAAGGTAAAGATGGGCCATTTATTGGATATTTTATTTACATTTCAGATGTTGATGTCATATGTTTTAACAGATGAGTAATGCTTCATTGTGTAAATGTGCCACATCTTCTTTAGCTATTCATTTGTTGAGGGACATCTGGGTTATTTCCAATTTCTGGATAATATGAAGATGGTTGAGCAACTGTCTCTCTGGTAGGAAAAGCATATTTTGGAAATATGCCCAAGAGTTGTACAGCTGGATCTTGAGGTAGATCTATTCCCATCTTCATGAGGATCTGCCATACTGATTTCAATAGTGGCTGTACAAGTTCTCATTCCCACCAGCAATGAATGTGTGTTTTTCTTACTCCACGTCCTCACCAGCATGAGCTGTCACTTGCATTGTTAATCTTCTCCATTTTCACAGAGGTAAGATGAAATCTCAGCGTAGTTTTGATTTGCATTTCCCTGATAGTTAAGAATGCTGAAAAAATTTTAAAGTGTTTCTCAGCCATTTGAGGTTCCTCTATTGTGAATTCTTTATTTAGGTCCACATCCCACTTTAATTGGATTATTTGTATTCTTGATATCTAGTTTCTTGGATTCTTTATATATTTTGGATATTAGCTCTCTATCAAATGTAAAGTTGTTTAAAAAAATTCTATTCTGTAGGCTCAGGTTTTGTCCAATTGATGGTGCCCTTTGTCTTACTAAAGTTTTTCAGTTTCATGAAATCCTATTTATTAATTGTTGATTTTTGTGCTAATGATCTGTTCAAAAAGTCTCTCCTGTGCCAATAAGTTCAAGGCTATTCCCCGTTTTCTTTTTATCAGGTTCAGTATATCTGTTTGTGTGTTGAGGTCTTTGATCCATTAGGAGTTGAGTTTTGTTCAGGTGATAAACCTGTATCTATTCAGATTTTTCTACATGCACCCATCCACCACCATTTGTTGATGGTGCTATCTTATTTCCAGTGTGTCCTTCTGACCTCTTTGTCAGAAATCAGGTGCCCATAGGTGTGTGCATTCAAGTCTTGGTCTTCAATTTAATTTCTTCATCTTCAGTTGAACAGTGTGTGGTGATACCTCCACCAGTCTTTTTATTACTCAGGGTTGATTTAGGAATCTTGGGGGTTTTGTGTTTTATATGAAGCTATAAATCATTCTTTCCTATTCTGTGAAGAACTGTGTTGGAATTTTGGTGATAGTTGCATTGAATCTGTAGATTCCTTTTCATAGGATGGCCCTTTTTACCATGTTAATCCTACTGAATCATGATCATGGGATATCTTTTCATCTTCTGATATGTTCTTCAATCTCTTTCTTCAATGACTTGGAGTTTTATCATATAAGTCTTTCATTTGTTGGGTTAGAGTTACCTCAAGATATTTATATGATTTGAGGCTATTGTGAAATGTATTTCCCTGATTTCTTTCACAGTCCATTAGGTTTTTTGGTTGGTTGGTTGGTTGGTTGGTTGGTTGGTTGGTTGGTTGGTTG